AGCATTTACTTGGTGGGTTCCTGCTCTCTTTTCTTTGCAGTGTTATGCAGCAGACCACTTGATAATTGGCCCTTAGTGTTGTTTACAAGTTGCTTTTGCATAAACTGATATTCTGAAGGACTTTACAAAGGAGAAAGCAATGTGCAACATCTTTTTTTAATGAGTTTTCTTTTTCTCATTAGCTCCTGTTTAAAAGCATCTTGAAGATCAGTATCACAGAGTTATTTATCCTTTGAAAATTCCCAGTTGTTTCCGATGTTAAAAACATTGACAATCATCCCTAAATTGTCAAGCACTTAAACTCAGAGTTTTTTCAGAGTTTATCAGCGGTCCAATGATTTCCTCTGAAAGCATTTATTCAGATAAGTCTGCATTATCAGACTGAGCGCTACACATACAGTTGTAATTACTGAAAATGTGTTAAGTTCACTAAGGAGAATATTGAGCTCAGCTAAGTGCTGATTAAATGCCAGAATTGAGGCACTTTTATTAAACTTAAAGGAAGATAAAGTCATGAAGGAAGAAAGTGTTTGATGTATCATAACTTAGACAGTGAGCCTCGGTCTAATTTAAAAAAGTCAGCACACAGAGGAGTACATGCTGTCACAATGCTGCCACTGACCCAGCCACTGAAACTAGGTATCTTTAAATGTTCTACCTGAGTCTCTAGTTCATCTTACACATGCTTCTGTAAGAGCTAAATGTAATGATGCAGGATATAAAGATTATGAGCTGAGGAGGAATTGTTTGTCATAATATACTCAGGGAAATAAATGCTAAAGCTATGGAGAAAAAATTAACTTTTTGAGGATATGTATTCAAAATGCAAATATGCAGAAAAACAAACTGATAAAATCATCTTGTTCTTCCAGTTTCAATATCCAGCTGTCTTTGATTTTTTATTGGCACTTCTTTGCAGTGCCATGTGCAACTGTATGAAACATACTTTCTTTCATTACAGCTGTAGCCAGCATTTGTTTTCATAAGCATCTTTCTAATCTTACAAACAAAGACATGTGAATCATTATCTTTTAATCGTCTATATTTGAAACCAAGGCCTGTTTTTCAGACACTGAAAACAGCTGATTACAATCACAGCGCATTAGGGGTCATTACACCGTCACTTAATAACTGACTTCTCCCAAAGACTGTCAACATTATCGATCAGGCTTCTGATACACTGTATGGTGGGTGATTACGGACTCGATAGCTCTTATCTTTAGTGTACAGATGACCAGAAAACCAATAAAATCCCTGGAAAGTAAATTGCATATTGAAAAATCTTGGAAAAACAACAGTAGGTCGTTAGGGTTCTGCGCTTGAAAACAATTCAAGTTGCCTGTTTGTCCACTTGGGTTGACTCTCCAGGCTGTTGAAGATGTGTCTGGCAGAAGTCTGGCTGAAACAGAAATGCCATTACCTGCCTCAGTAATCCGTGAGTCCTTGGTATTAATCAACAATCCTCTCCATCCCACACATGTATTAGGGTCAGTTTGTACATTTGGGCGCTAAAACCCTGACTTAATGAACCTTTAATAGGAGCACACGGGGAGTCATCTGACTAATAAGTTACTCATCAGCACATAACCTTTTATGGGCGAACAGGGTGAACATGCACTCCTTATTATGCTGCAATATTACGAGCTCTGGAGGACTGTTACGGTTCAGCCATGTCAGGTTGTTTTTCTCGATGTAATTTGTTCTTCATTGGTATGCTAGTGGTGGGCGGGCTTAGAAATAGGATCAACAGGTGACAGTTGACAGTTGAAGAAGCCTCGTGGGTATGGCCAGTGAAGGACCGAACAACAGCAGCCTTTTATTTATTCTTCTCTCTGCTGCTCCTGAGAGGGACTAACATTTTAGTATAACATCTATTGTTGGTAACAAACACAGACGAGTTATGTTTCAGATTTTCACAGATCCATAAAACACTATAAACATGCAGAGTGACTCTAATGAGGAACAAGATTATTTGCTGCCCAGATCACAATCCCTCTTTTCCCCTGGTCACCGGCAGCTCATGCTGACTCCAACTCCCTGAATAAACTTTAACAGAAACCAACAGTGAGCAGTCTATTTTGGAGTTCTTATAACTTTGTTTTAACTGCAGTAAAAGTTTTCAGGCCAATGAAGAAAAAGAAAAATGCAACCTGCTGACTGTGTGCCAAAAAGAAGTACTTTGGAAAAAAAAACAGTTATTGTTATAACTCACTGTTATTACATCGCAACTTAAAGAGTTTTCAAAACTCAGGGGAGAGGGTGCCCAACTTTTTCTGCAGTTTTTAAAACAAAGTCACCATAATAGATCTCAAATACATTCTTTGCTACTTTCAAACATGTTTGCAAGATCCATTAAATATATAAAGTAGCAAGACTTAGTGTCAATAGGCTAGAGCCTATACCAGATGTCATTGGGCGAGAGGCGTGGTACACTCAATCACAGGGCTAACACATAGAGACAGACAACCAGCCACTCTCACATTCACACCACGGGCACTTTAGAGTCATCAGTGACCTCATGAGCATGTCTTTTTATTGTGGGAGGAAGACAGAGTACCCAGAGGCCCACGCAGGCATCGGGAGAACATGCAAACCCCAACCAGAAAGTCCCTGAGTCTCTGACGGGGACCTTCCCGCTGTGTGGCAACAGCGCTAACCACTGCACCATCATGCAGCCAAAAAAACCCCAGCTATGCCTTTTAAAAATAAAAAAGCCTTATTATACGCTCTTCACTCTACCTTCGAGGGCAAAATGCATTTCAAATCTCTCTGAGCAGCCAGATTTCGGCTTGTCGGTGGGACAGTTGTTACCCTAACCCTGAACATAGCAATGCCCCTACGATGCCTCTGACCACACCTCATTTTAAAACTATGCACCAAGAGGCACACAGGTGGGATAAGGTACATTGGTCACTTGAAATGGGCGCTGGGTGAGAAATGACAACTGCTTGAGTCCAAATATAACAATGACTGTTGCGCTGTGTTCTGAGCTGCTTTGCACGAGGTGAAATATGGCACATAATCTTCATTAAAAATCTCTGAATGATGGCCATTTACCGCATCATCCTTGTTTCTGACTCCACTCTCCTGTCCTTCCAATAAAGGCGTGATAGCCTGTAAAACCCTCATTAAAGACAAAACTCTGATGAGATTAATCCGACATCTGCCTTAGAGCAGCTGTTAATCTGCAATAATAATTACAATGACGACTTTAGTGGCCTTTCAAAAATCTTTTTTCAAGGTGACAGGAATATAATCATCAGGACATGAAACACAGAGTGAGAATTTAATGGCTCCTTTTGCAGCAGTGCAACGTGTGTTCATCCAGGCTGCATAACTCAAGGTACTGGGATGATGGACATTTCAGATAAATTGTGTTATTGGATCTTTTTCTATGAAATACTCTTTATGGCCAAGTCATTTAAAAAAGCATACTACTCTGTCACTGTTTTTTATAACCAATCAGTTTTTGATCAGTATACTCTAAAAACAATGAATGCATATATTTATATGCAATCCTGACTGTTACAGTTTTAAAGCTGACAATACATAAGCATTTGTATATTCATATTTTCTTGTCTGAAAATTGTATTTCTGATTTAAAAAATACTACTGATGGTACCAGTCTGGCAAGACGGAGAATCATATCATCCCACAGGATGAACAAATATGAACATAGCTCTGACTGAGGCATAGATGTAATATATTTTATAAGAATGATGTATGCAGAGAGGCATGGCCTTCTCAGGTCTCCTTCCCAAGAGGGCTAAAATGAGTCTCCTTCTCTAAAGTCATATTTGCAACCCAGTCTTCTATCTAGTACAGTATATGTGTATGTGTGATACACAAGTTTGAGGATCATCCGACCAAATAATGACAGATTATTATGCTGACATGTTATTTGGGTGAATTCAATTTTAGACTATAATTAACTTCTTCATGGTACCATTTGCTCTGCACCCAGAGAAAGTCGCCCGGTTGCTCTGAGTCTGAGGCCTCGAATCAGATAAGTGACACCGTGCATTGGGTTGAAAATCCATACTTATAGGAGTTATTTTAGTGACACTGGGCCCTTTGTCTCTCTGTAATAACTATGCAGCTCTGACAAATGGCCTCTGTTTTCAGCCATTATTAGCATGCAGATTCTCTGGTGTAGTGCTACACCATTTCTGCTAGTACAGTGTGTATATTGTTTTGGAGGCAGGAATGCACTGGATGTCCTCTGCAGTGGGGGCTGGCTAACTAAATGGATAGCTGTCAAGGTGGATGTCAGAGAAGCAGCTGTTTTTTTTCCATTTGCAAAGATGGTGCAGCATTAAAATGTCAGATAGATTTAGGTCAGTATCATCTTGAAGAAGCTTAACTTGTGAACCTGTGTAACCCAATATAAAGAAGAAATGCTTCTTGTAAGCAGTCTAATGCATTAAATTGAGTTGGGAGTTGTTAGCACACCTGCTACAACACTGTTTTCACTCTTAACTCTGCCCCAGAGAAACAGAGGGTGGCCTCAGAGACCAAACTCTACTCAGGAATAAACACCTATACAGTGTCTTTAATGGCACATTTCCACTGTTCCCTGTAGAGCAGGTACGATTAAATGAAGTTAAAAATGTAAAAAGTTAGCTCTGCTGGTGTCCGCTGCAGCAGGAAGGGCACTGCCTCGTCAAAAGAGTCCTTTGTGCTGCTGCGGTTTGTTGTGTGCCATGCAGGCCCGAGCCCATAGATGACCCTTGTTGTTTCTGCGCAGGCCTGGGTGAGGCAGATGCGAACCAGAACAATGGCTGCGTCTCGGAGAAGCCGGCGGTGACTGACTCCACGGGCGCTGAGGGCCCCCGCCAACCTTGGACCGACTCCAACACAGCCGACCCTGACGCTGCCACGCCACGCCCCCACCTGGTCCGCCTCTTCTCCCGAGATGCCCCGGGCCGAGAGGACAACACCTTCAAAGAGCGACCCTCTGAATCGGACGAGCTACAGACCATCCAGGAGCACAGCGGAGCGGCTTCAGAGTGCGGGTCGGATAACCCTGAACAGGACCTAGATTAGGCTAGCTTTTTTTGTGTCCCTCCCTCCCTTTCTTTTCTCTCATCCCTCCTCTGTCTTTTGCTCTCTCATTTACTGGAGAGACAAGAACCCCACATTTGACAAATAAAAAAAAATACAACCAACCACTACTACCACCATGGCATCCGCAAGCAGCTCCGCACAGGCCGCCTTCGGGCTGGGCAGGAGGAAGAAGAACCCTGGCCTCCTGGACCAGATTGGAAACTTCTTTGGAGGGGACAAGAAGAGGAAGAGCAAGGTGAGGAAGCAAGGAGAGTGGAGGTGAAAACTCCACCCTTCTCATCTATCTCAGTTCATTCTGCTGATTTGCTCCCAGAACCACTTTTTTTTATTTTATTTTTTACTTCTGATCGTTTAATCTTGTAAGAATTAGTTGAAACATATTTGTCATATAGATTTGTGTTGGGTTTTCACGTTGTTCTTATGGTGAACTGAAGCCAAAGACTGGCTGAAAAGGCTTTGAATATTCACTGGATGATGGCTTTGGGTGGGGTTTGTTCTGTGCTTTATTTTCTATTACAAAGAGGCTGTGATTTTTAATCCGTAAGAGATACATTTCTATATTGCATTGTTTTTTTTGTTTTTTTTCTTTTGATGGTACTGACATTAAGTAGCATATATTTCTTTCCGTTCAATTTAATGTATCTGTTGTGGATGTGATTTGGTGGAATTGCTCTCGTTGCTGCTGCTTTGCAGTTTGTTTTATTGGAACATTCGTCAAACTGGAGTTTCAGTGTCTCAGTTCTGGTACTTCCCTTAATGATGATGATGAAAATGAGAGCGTTGCCAATATCATTAAGATGTGAAAGTGGTTTATTGATCCATTAGATACTCTGCAAAGAGTTCATACTACTTCTTAGTAGAGGCATTGTCTCTTAGATTTTTCCTTTTAAAAACACAGGGAGGTACCTCAATACTGTTGTTGACTGAAGCAGTCTGCTAAGTCACTTTTTAAGATTACATATATGATCAAAGAGAAATAAGAGTCTGAGCATAGTATCATCCTCTGTTGGGGAATATATTCAAGAGTCTGCAAAGTAAGAAAATGATTTTAATTATCCTGCAGACAAGTCATTATTTAAGCCTGCTTTAGCCTTGATTAACATCGTTCTGTCATTTTTTATTAAGAAATCTTCATTTTGACATAATGTTCATTTCAAAAACTCACAAACGTGCATTCCCATGCAGTTTTAGTGTCCATGTTTGGTTGTGGGAGGGAATATTAGATTTGTCCTCCAGTGTATCAAACCGTGTAGACAGCCTGGGACCAAATTCAGACACGATGATTGGCACTCTCGCCAGAGCTGTTAAGAACCAGACTGCAGGTCTGTTGGTTCCACCCATGTCCACACAATGAGCTATGCACTCTGTGGTGCCCCCTGGAGGTGGTGATGAAATGGAAATGAAACTCTTAACTCCAAATTCAGAGCCGTTTACAGCAAACATGCATTGAAATATTGATTATTCTGACAGCACTCAAGCTAAAGGCCAAAGCCTGCTATGCTTTCAAGATGAGTCATTTTAGCTCCATATTTGTTTTTATTTTTGACCATGACTGCTGTCTTAAAAAGGGAATATTACTTGGTATTACTGCTGTGGTGCAACAAACCAAATGGTGGACCAGTGGACATAAATTTTCTCCGTTATTTTCCTCTCATTTGTATCCAGTAGAATGCTGATCAGGGTGCTATAGGAAGGTGATTGAAAAGAAAACATCCAACAGCATGAAAATATGCATTAAATCCTCCTAAGCCTTATTGTCACTTAAAAAAGCTATTCAAGAAAAAAAAAACTATTTTCTATAACTGTTTGCTACAAATGTTTGCTTGAGCCTTTTCTGCTGATCAGATATTGTTTTGCTTTTGGAAAATGTTCAGGGAAAAGTTTCATCCGATCAAATTGAGACGCTCTCATTCAATGTTGGGTTTGTGACCAGTTTTCTGCAGTATTTGTTTCATTTAATGTTTCTCTATGCCATAATATTGTACTTTGCTCTCCATATTGCTGACAAGTTTACTCAAACAAAGATGTAAAAATATATATATATTTATGTATTCACCAAGGGTTTGCCTTCAAATGAGGAGCGTTCACATCTCTTGTGAATGACAGGGTTTGCCCCACCTCTGTTGCCTCTAGCAAATAATAATAATAATATTAATACAACCTGCACTTGATTTTCTGCTATAAAAAAACATATTTTTCCAACAATTCAGCATGAAGACAGATATTTTTTAGCTTAAACTCTGTCTGTATGTGTGCACAGATTCTCCACAGACATTTTTAGTGTATTCTTTAAAGTTGAGGCTGCAGTATTTGTGGAAAACATTGTGTCTGTATTTTCTGTTGCATCTTGAAATGCATGCTAATTTCAGTCATTTTGAATGCTTGGCAGGTTTCCCTTGTGTGTGTTTTTTTTTAATCTTCTATCCTTTTCTGGATTTATGTACTTAGTTTGCAAACAAAGCCAGAGCCTGAGCTCTTCGAGAAAGTAAGGATAGTATATAAGAGATGTTTTATAAGTTGTGAAACGACGCCAAAAACAACAAACTCCAGCCTCAGGACATGAAACAACTGCAGGAAATCTGCACTTGATTAATTTTTCAATTATAGGGATGATTATGTGCGAATAGACGTTTGCATGAACAGCAGCTAATCAAGCAGAAAAGAGGACTCTTATTGAACAGAGGGGTTTTTTATTTTGTTTTATTTGCTCTTTAATTGTTTAATTCCAAGAATCAGTTGTTTGTATGTAAGATCAGGCTTTAGCAGAACAGCTCACAGTCAGAACTGAACCTCTTTGGTACCGTAGTTTAACCCATGGTGTCTTGGATGAACACAGCAGTGCATTGGTGCTGATCCCTGTCGTGTAACGCCTTCAACTCTGCAGTGGAGACCTGTGACCGTTTGTATCTGTTGTGAATTGTTGTGACCAATGACCTGTTCCTAACCTGATCCTGTTTTCGTTTTTTTTGCTTGATTAAAACTCTTTAACAACACCCTCAGCGCTCTCTTTGTTTTGTTTTGTGTTAATCCATATGTGGCTCAATATCTCTCATGTGTTTCTTTAAAAGTGTGTTTTAACTTCTCTGCTAACATCCAGCCACTTTGGTAAGATACTTGAATTGTTTTCTTTAAGTTCAGCCCAAAGCACAACTAAACAGTCAGTGATTCAGTGTGTTTGGGTTTGTCCGCTACCTCTAAAATGATCCACTTTAAGACAAGTATGAATTCTAGAGTTCAATCAGTCACTCAAACAAAACTGCAAAAATAGAGATGTCAGGAAAGAAGAGATGCTGTTTATCTCGTATCTCAGATATGGATGACTGAAGATTGCTTTGTGCGCTTTAACAGAAAGTGACATGAAGAGAGAACCTAACACCTCTCAGTTTGTTTGCTAAAAGAGCACAGATTGTTTGTGTTCCTAACAACAAGCATGCATGAATTGAGACTGATCTGAGAGAAGCATCGACACATTTAAGTCACTTAAAGTGCGCCTAAAGACTTTGCATTTGCAAGAGTGGCATCATGTAAATCAGGATTATGTCGCGAACAAAAGGAAATAGAAATCAGCTCAGGAGTGCAGTCTGTTCTGGCTCATTTCAATTTCTATTTACAATCTGAGAGTGTGTTTGTATTCAATACTTGGTGAGATGGTCCAACAAGCAACTAGAGCCAGGCACCCTGCCACAGACAATAACTGCACAAAACAAACACTGACGAGATTTTGGATGGAAATGCATTTGAATTTAATTTTGATGCAAGCTGCAAATGAGTGATACTGCAGAAGGGACGGCAGGCCAGTTTAATCAGTCACACATGAAAGAAGACAGTGAAACCTGCTCACCCTTGCTGAGCTCCAGAAATGAGAAGTGCAAACATTGCTCAAGCATTTCATTCCTGGGTTGAGAAAGGCAAATACATTCAACCTAATAAGACTTTAGGGAGTGTATGAATAATATTTGGGGGTCTGTGAATGATCACATGATTTATTTTTTAATGAAATAAAAGCACATGTCAAACCTTTTCCATGTCAAATTGAAAAATAGACAACCATCCTCACATTGGTATTGTGGAATTAAATTACTGATTTTGGGCAAAATTTCAGATGGATGCTCAAATTTAAAACCTATTTTTGTCAGAACTAAAGTGTGAAGTTGGAAATGACATGGCCATGTCATGGACACAGTCTCAGTGAGGTCACCCATTGGTTTCTGAAGGGAAGCCAATCGATGGCGGTGGCCATATTGGAAATGCTTTATCAGGCTAATTTTGGTCAACCCAGTAACAGCCACAGAACGGGAGCGAGGAGCAGGAGCCTCCTGACAAACAACTACAATGCCACCCTATTTGTGAATAACTCTTCGCCTTAATACCAACAAAACATCTGGGTCATTTATTTCAGTATGTTTCGATAAGAAATTAGCTATTCAGACCTTTTTAAAAAAAAAAGAGTAAACAAATTAATTTCTGCTGTAAAATAAATGGGCATTTTAAAATGGGTGTGCATATAACGTCTGGCGTGACTTTTTGCCTCAAGTGGACATTAGAGTGTAGTCCAGGTTTTTGCACCTTCTCTTGGTAATTACCTATTGGCAAAACAAAGAAAAGCCTCCTGAAAGAAACTAAAACGCCACTCTCCCCATTATAGTTTGAACACGTGCCCTAAACAATTCAATGAATATGTCTGTATAGGTTGTCAGTCATCCATGTCGTGATTAATCGAGGCTCCAAACACAACTGGACTTAGTTGAAGACCTTGAAGGCGTTTCACCTCTTCAGCTGGTGGAGGGAGCTAGAAATAAAACCCTGTGTGGATCATTAGCATGCTACTGATCACGGATAGTCACATGGGAGTCGTTAGCTGAGTTGTGGACCTAGTTTAGCCTAAAGTCGTTAACACCTCAATCACATGCTCAGGGTTGGGGTCACATGCTCCCAGGTGGGACTTGGGCTTCACTTCCGATCCGTGATCATTAGCATGCTAATGAGCCGTAGAGGCTTATATTTCTAGCTCCGTACACCTGTTAGTACAGAACTGAAAAGGTCTTTCGTGGGGGAGGTAAAATATCTTTGAGAACTTCAGCCTAGTCCAGTTGCCTTTAGTTCAAGCTACGTTAATTGAATAAAGGTTTTTATGACCATTGTTCAATAAAAAAAAACTTAAGTGCAGTAAACAACAGTTTGAAATTACTGTTTTGATATAAATATGGTCGATTAAAAAATAAATATCACCTCTTTTGAAAAAAATCTGACCTCCAACTGTTGTGATGTACATACAGTTCCAAATGTGTAATTAAAAAAAAAAAGTTTTATCATTATTTCAATCTGACTGCACAGATAATTGCTATGGTAGCCTCCAGTAGCAGTTTGATCTTGTGAGCAAAAAGACCTGATTGCCTTTTAAGTGGAACATTGAAGTATTGTGACACACACACACCTTTGTATTTGTGTTTGGATCACCATATGACTCTATGGCAGATAGCTAGATGTGACTGTTTAAAGAAAAAAGAGCTGTTTCATCTGATTCATTCATTGCTTCAGGGCTACTACTAGGAAATGAGCTGCATATCTCAACATAGATCAGGGTTAATGGAAAATGTAAGTCTTGTTTTTCTTTTATGATGTTGATGCATGAAAATACTCCGTCATTATGAAGATAGAGATTCTCAGCTATGAATCATCAAATCTTCCGCTCGTGGGATTAATTATTAAACATCCTCTGTTATGAAGCAGATGCTGGCCATGATGTGACCTCTGACTTCAGCTGATTAACCTGAACTTTATGACAAGTGCTAGTTCTGTGTCCTGATTGCCATCCTGTTATATTTGTAGCTGGAGCCAGATGATTGTTAGCTTAGCTTAGCATTAAGACTTTAAAAAAAAAGGAAACAGCTAGCCTGGCTCCCTTAATAACAGGTTGTAGACACATAATTCAACTTGTTAATCAGTGAGCATTATGTTTTCTGGTCAGCACTTGACTGTTGGGTAGGTCATTTTAAATAGATGATCACTACTGAGCAGGCTGAAATAGCTCAACAATATTGTATCATTGGTCGTCATGACATGGTTAATACACATATGGATGGCTAGCCATACATTTGATAACAATGAGCTCGTCATTCCCCACTGGACAATCACTGGTGATCCCTGGCTTTTCATGTAACACGTTATCAACATTTTAATGTTCCAGTTTTTGAACAAATACCTGCACAGCAAATTACATCTCCTGTTATTGCTAATTAGAATATCTGAACATGCTTACATGAAAGACAATCTACTGCTAAACATATTGTATGCATTTTGCATGTTAGCTAGTATTAACACTTAGCTCTCACCTTCACCTTTGCCTAGAAAAGGCCTGACGGGGACACTTCTTTTACCTTTTGATAGAGATAACTCAGTCATTATTCTCTAGGCTAACCTCTAACTTGTTAAGTTTTAAATGTAGAAAGTTGTGTATCAAACTTATTTTCCAACTCTCATCAACAAAAACGATGTTATGTCCTAGAATGTAAAAGTACTTATTTAAAGGCATTTGTATACATAGAAATGTTTGTGTTGATCCAGTATGTATCCTAAAATAAATCCACTTTCATTCAAGACACAGTGCAAGACGAAGCACCAGCTAAAGAAAAATCCAACTCTATTAACCTGAAACCCAAAGGGAAGGTGTTACAACACTACAGTATTTGTATAGCCTACATGGAATGCAGATTCAATGTGTGCAAACAGACAAATTAAATAGAGTTTTAGTCTGTCCGCACATCCTTTTCACTTTTTGTCTCTGTTCTGTCTCATCTGACTATAAACAGGGCAATGATTGTTAGCTCCTTTTTTAAAAGAGACTACTGAAGTGGGAGTTAAATGAATCCTTGTCGTCTAGTACAAAACCCCCAATTAATTTAGGAACAGGAATGTAATAATAAAACAGCTTGGTAATGACAGAATGAGTCAGTGTCACAGCTCAAGATTCAAAAGTCTACATCATCATTAAAATCATGCCAGGAGCTAATGGAAACCCAATTTGCTTTTGATTGAACCCACCGTTAAATATGTGCAATATGCACCTGGAATTTAGAGGCATCTGCTGCAGGTGTGCTTTGGTGTCATCTTGGAAATGTTTCAGCTTTTTCAAATGTAAAAAAAATATAAAGAGTTTTCTAATAAGAGGGGGGGAGGAGATGAGAGGAGAAGAGATATAGAGGATGAACTCACTCACATCAAAGGGAGACAACTGGCTGCACCAGCAGAACTCATCCTGCATTATTTGATCACTTATTTCCTCTCCCATCTCGTCCTTTTCTTTCCTCCTTCCCACTGAACAAAGGCCACTGAGGGTGCCCTATTTTCTCCCCTCCCTGTCATTTTTGCCTTCATTTCCTGCCATCATTTACATCGAGGTAAAAACAGACGCACACAGAGACACACACTTATGCATGGGGACATCATTAAAGGGGATCTGTGGCACTTTCAGAGCCTGCAATGCACAGCAACCGAGAGAGTAGATGTGCGCCCATTCAAAAGGTTCAAAGAGTTGTTATGTGGACATTGTAAATTGGGACATTGGTTTGGACAAAGGACATTATGTTTTTGGAATGGAAACAGTATACCCTTTGAAAACGCCACGATTGTCCAGCTAGCTATCCATTTGGGGTGGATTGTGCTCCAGTTGGAAACCCGTCTTTTTTAATCTATCTTTCCTTTCCTGTATTGATCTAATGGTTGTTTTGTAAATATTGAAAAGAAAACAACCCTTAAAACACAGTGAAGGTGACATAAAATCTAACACCCCATGTCTGTCAGATTGTGTAAATGGTGGTGGCGGTGAAAGTCCCCCTCCCCCCTTCTGTTGCCCTAGGCTTCTTTGATGTGAGATAATGGCTGTGAGTCATCAACAGTTTTCCTATCCACCACTCAATCCCCCCCCCCCAAACACATACTGGTATAACCACACACACACACACACACACACACACACACACACACACACACACACACACACACAGGTACAAACACATACATTTTCCTGTTACATCAATGGGGTCACAGAGAAGAATGAAGGAGGCGACATTAACAGAAACGTCTGTACATTCTGAGTGGGAGGAAATTAAATTTTTTTTGTGTGGGCTGCAGGTTGTTGATGGAGTTCAGTATTAGAAGAATTATACCTTTCACCTTTTATGCATCCGTGTTATTTTGCATGAAGATTTTGTTAATACACGAGTGTGTTTTTTTCACATTTGAAGGCCTAAAGTCAGAGCACATCACTTTATTAAGCCTTCACGCTGACACATCCTTTGTAAAGTCTGAACTCGCTGCACTGATTTTAAACTCTGGGTCGTCTTTGTTCAGATCAAGTCATTGACAAGTAAATACTGACATCTTCACCCCCTACTTTGTTCCTGTTTAATTTGTTTTTAGTCACTTGTGGACAAAGAGGTTTTTGGGTTAGGGGTTAATGAGGCGGTTGATTGAATGAATATCAGTGACTTTAGTCAGAGCATGCAAATAGCCAGAGCAGCTTTTTCCTATGATGTAACTTTATACTTTTTCTTTCTTTTAAAGATTTATTTTTGGGCTTTTTGTGCCTTTAATGGATAGATAGGACAGTGGCTAGAGTCGGAAATCAGGGAGAGAGAGAGGGGAACGACACAGGAAAGAAGCCACAGGTGGGATGTGAACCCAGGCTGCCCGCTTGAGACGACAGCCTCCACACATGGGCACGCACACTAACCACTGCACCACCAGCGCCCCAACTTTATACTTTTTAAATGGTTAAAACATTTAACTAAATCCTAGCTTCCACACAGTCCATGTAGATTTTGAAACAGATGGAAAACACTTCAGTTTATGCCCAAAACATCCTTACATAATAATAATTAAAAAAAACAATGTCCCACCCTAAACATGCCAAACTGATTCATTCACAATTCCACTCAAAAAGAAACATTATTGATAGTTCAGGTAAGTATCATCATTTGTTCAACCATTTTTGAGCCTGCCTGTCTAACATCAGCCAACACCTTGTTTTAAAAATCGACTCAAATATTCAGTGCAGCAGTTACTTTGAGAGTTTGACCTTATCAGTCCCCACATTTAAGGAGTGATGGGATGATATCTTAAATTTCACCAGTCGAAATCTACAGGTGGAAAATGGGGGGTTGGTAGTGGGGCTGAGTAGGAGTGCAGGTTGAGAGAGCAGAAATCTTGCAGATAATTGGAAGGAAGTGTTGCCATGTGACTGTCTAGAAAGAGGCATGTGAAGTGTGAAATCAGTGCAGCTCGAGCTGACTGCCTGAACTCGCTCGCAGGCGTCGCCTCATTAGTGGGAGGAATATGTGATACCTCAGTGGTTAAGCTTTTAATCTCACATTTATCATTTAAAAATGTTGAAAAGATCCTGATGAAACTGTATTTAAGGATCTTACTCAGGAAGGGAAGGTCTGCTCATTTTGATTTTGAGGCATAAGCACACATTTATTAAACAAGTAGGTCTATTGTTCTTTTTCTCCTCTCCTTCTCTCTTTTCCTCTCCTTCTCTCTTTTCCTTTCCTCCTCTCCGTCTCTCTTTTTCTTCTCAGGGATCTTTCCGGGGTGCTCTGTCACCAGCCCCTCAGAAAGCCTCCACCACTTCCCCACGTAAGAAGGGCCAGGAGAACGCAGTGGTCCACTTCTTCCGCACGATCGTGAGTAATAAAGATAACACTGTTCATCTGTGAAGGACTGGCAGTACCTAGAAACAGTCTGCGTCAGCAGTGTTGCTGCTGTCTCTGTCAGTGTTCCCTCTGTGTGTCTCTCTATGTCTTCTTTGTCTTGTCCCTCACTAACTCTGTCAAATCGTTTTACTTTTTGTCATTTACTCGTCTTCAGGTGTCCCCTGCCCCTCCCAAGTCTAGGGTGAGTCTGCTTCATCCGGCTGTTATTCATTTTGAAGTTAAAAGTTATACACACACACACACACTAAATGATAAGAAATAACAGACAATACATATTTTGTTTCTTGTAAAAATGAATAATTTCACAATTCATTACCCTCTGTATGTTTGTCATATTTATTTTCTGGCTCAAATTAAGAAGTTTCTTTCAGTATAGTAAATACCATGTTTCAGTCAATATTGAACTTTTTTTAAAAAGTTGACAAAAATATGAATGGCAGTAGTCAAGAGAGACAGCAAGAGAAGCAGTTATCAAACTAGTGGAAGTCAAACCAGACAAATCAATTTCTGACAATATAAACTCACTGCAAAAGACGAGTAAAACCAAAAATAGTTTTGCTTGAAGTTTGAAATAGGTAGCATAGAGGCAGAGTACTTGAAGGCGTTCATTAAATACTGAAGTTTATTTGAATATTTCCCATACACAGTATTTCTGCTGAATGTCACTTAATCTGTACTCTTTCCTTTGTGAGCATCTTCCTTGCTCCTCTCTCCTTCCCTCTGCCTCCCTCCCCTCTCTTCCTCTTCTGCTTCCGCCCCCCGTGACCCTGTGACCTTTCCCCCCTGGACGGACCCTCCTACCTGCCTCCTTCTCCTTCCCATCATGCCTTTTCTCTGAGTAAGAAACACACTTCTATTTGTCCCCTGTCTCTTTTACCTCTTGTCCTTGTCTCTTGTCTCTCTGCACGTCCAGTGGAGAGGACTAGCAGCCAAGATAGGCCTGGTAGGTGGTTTAAAAAAAAATCTGCAAAGACACAGGTATCATGCCTAATTAAACCGATAGGACAATTGAGGCCATCCTCTCAAACATCCTCCGAGCGTGACGCCTGTGGCTCTGTCCATTTAGTCTCCATCAAGCACTTTAGCCTCCATAATCTGACCGTACATCAGCGATAACGCCCTCATTTCCTTCAGACCCAAGTCCATTTTCCAATACTCCATTCCCATTTTGCAGCTCCGCAGTGTGACTTATCCCTATCATGTTCATGTATTGTATATTCATGATAACACAGGCATTATTCTGCTCTTCATTACCCTTGTTTCATTTCAAAAATTCCTCAGAGACTGAATGAAGTGCGGCTGCCTACTGCTTCATTTAGCGACATTATCAGCACCTCATTTAAGGTTCTCATATCTGTGCCAGTGAGTGTGAGTAAAGTGTGTGTGCTTGTTCTGAATCAAGAAGCAGTGGAGGGTAAAAGACAAAGACAATCTTCTGTTGAGACCATTAGAAGATGATTAGGGTGGGGCAGGGGGTCAGAAAGGCAGGAAATTAACTTTTTTGCCCTGAATTTGAAACCTCTGAAATGTGGTTGCATATATAGTATTATTACTTTCACTTTTATCACATTTGTCACATGGGCACAGGAGAGGTGGAGGATTTAACATAAACAGATTTTTGAGAAATCCATAAATTTGTAATTAAGACATAAACGGTATAAAAGACATACAGCCTTTTTGTTGCTATGGTTTTGTTTGTTAATTCTGGTTGCCTGATTTCTGAACAACAAGTCACCATATGTAGACCAAAGGTCAGATTCATGGTACTATGTCCCTCCCTATTCTTGTTAAAAGGTTGCTATGACATCAACTTTGTCATCACAGGAGGCCACACCCATTACAAACATTTATCAATTTAACATCATGCTATCGATTGAGAACTTGAACTCATAAGAAACATATTTAATGATTTAATAAATCAACTCAGAGTTCAGCTCATTTTCTTAACTTGTCTCATGCAAATGGATATATTTCTGTAAACCCTCTACTGGCCATTAGGAGTATTGCAGGCTTAATGCACCAATGCAGTAGCTTTCCACTCATGATGCACAGCCCTTGAATTGAAGAAATAAAAGTGTTACCCCTACGCAAGAGAGGCTTCAAAGTTAAAAATAATGATGCTGATGAGGGGCTATATATTTTTAAGAAGTAAAATTATGCATTTCGGGCAAGTTTCTTTCACCTTTGGTTTTTCATCCGAGTTTTGAACAGTAATCTTTTACAATGTTGCCAAAATAAAATACATTTAATTAATTGGATTACTGTAAAAACTCAACTAAAAATGTGCTTACTAATTGGTAATTAGACACAACAGAAAACAGAAATTTCAAGAACGTATTAGCGTTTGATTTTAAGGATAAACCAGATGAGCATATGGGCAATATGCTGTCTAAATCTCTTTTCTTTTTATTTAATTTTTATTTTTTCACCAAAATTCCTCAAAAATAAGCGAGCAGACACTTGTCTTTATACCAAACTTTGCTGACTTTTCTAACTCATACATAATTCATACAAAATACTTCAAAGAAAACCTTTCCAGAAATGGAATAAAATTACACTCTAAAAGATAGTTCATAATTCAATAACAAACCCTGGAAGGCTGGTGGAAGGACTGTTTTATTAGTGTGTCCTTCTCCTCTCCTTAGTTTCTTTTTACTTACATTTTTACACCCTCACTCACTGAGTGATAATAACTCTGGGTCTCTCAGTTTAAAAAAGGTCAGCCTTGTCTTAATCCCCTGCTAAATAACTCTGAGGCTCTTTCAACACACAGTCTCTTTCCTCCCTCTCTCAGGGTGATCAGAAGTCACAGTCTGCTAAAGCCAAAAAGGGCGGTGCGGGTGACGGCAAAGGAACCCTGACTAGGATCTTCAAAATGGTAAAAAAAACAACTTTCTTTTTCAAACCCTTTCTGAGTTATCTCCCAGAGGCCTATTTGCTCTGCCTTTCCTTTCTGTAAGTGAAATCTTATTGAAAGTGGAATATTTCCATAATAACTTTTTTGCCCCTGTTTCTTTCTCCTGCCTTAGTGATGATATCAGCAGCAGAGTGAGTAACTGATACGTGCTGGAGGAGTGCTCGACTTGAACTCACTCCACGTTCGTTTGAAATGCTTCGAAGACATCCTAATCTCATTTACTAGAGCGGCAGTAGAATAATAATGGGCTTTTAGAGACAAGATTGATCATCATGCATGCAACAAGCTTCACGCTAGTGCTGATATGATCATGCTGAACATGAAGGATCCACTTCTGAGGGGTCCAGGGGGCTATCGCTAACATACTGCACCTGCTGGAAAGGGCGGCTAATGCACAACATAACACTTTTATGCAATATCATCAATCACACTGCAAACACACAATATCAATGAATGCAGGGCTAAATATCATATTATAATAATCTTACGTATGTTTGAAGCTTGTCTTACTGTCTCTGTAGAGACAGATTTACAAAAGTATATTGCCAAATATTTAAACATGAGCAATATTTAGTGACAACTACTCTGGAAAAAATTACGAGATTTAAAATTAGTTATTTAGCGCAATTAAGCATTTATTTAATATTTAGAGTCCGAATATCAATGCTACTCACAAGGTTTAAAGTAAAGTAACAGATTTTTCAGAAGTCTTGTGGCTGCTCATCAGTTGTCATTGATTTGGAAAGTTGGCGTTTTGATCCCAGCTCCTGCAGTCATAATGTCGAAGTCCTCAGACAAGACACTGAACCCCACTTTGCTCCTAGCAGTGTGTGAATATGTATGCACACATATTAGATCATACTGATGGACACTTTACACAGCATCCTCTGCCATTAGTATATGACTGTTGTGTGAATTGGTGATGTGTAGTGTTAAAGCACTTTGAGTGGTCACAACACTGGAAAAGCACCTCATAAGTACAGCACTTTAACCATTTGTTCATTAAAAAATATAAGAAAACAAAGCAATCTCTGACCTACTCCATGTCATGAAGGAACTATTATGACAAAATTGGTAAATATCAATGGAGTGCACTTTTTTTAAATAGCTTTAGACCACTTAAACGCTCTTACTCTACATGTAATATTTAACCTTTCACACATTGATTGCAGAGGTTGCTTTGCCAAGTGCCCGACTCACCATTACGAGCCAACCAATCACATCGTTCTCCCACACACGGATGACTACACCCTCAGGAGAAAAATTTGGGTTTCATTGTCTTGTCCAAGAACACTTTGAAATGTAGCAGCCAGGGATCCAACCAACCTTACAATTGAGAGCTGACCCACTCAAACTTCAAGCCCAGCAGCCTGAGCATCTTCTAACTCATGTGCAAATATTCCCAAATAGTAAGTGAATACAAACTGGCAACTTCCAATAACAGTTCAAGTTTAAATAGATGGATAGTCAGTCGTGTTCATGGAGGGGATTATAAGAAAAAAAATGCATTTATGTGTGTTTATTTTCTGTCTGTGAATTCGTAATTCCACAACATGGGTTTTTTTTCTAACTCAAGAACTTCCATATCTCCCAAGGATGACTGTAAAAAAACAATCTTCTTGACACAAATGGAAGTTATGGCTCTTTGCTTATTTTTTCACGCTCCCACATCAACATTCAGTTTGAAACTGCTCTCCATTCAACCAACTTTTCAGCTTTATCCCACTCATTAGCACTTGCCTCCAAACACTGAATTCATGACGGCTTGAATCTCAAATGAAGAGAGCAGCTTTTTAACCTTTTGATTTGTTTTGAAACATCATGAAAAAAGACTGAAAGCTTTCCCCGCTCCACAGGTTCCCCCCCTGTCAGCTTCTAATTAGCCAGCCTCTCTCACTGTACCTGAGATTCGTTTGTTTAGTTGGTAATGACAGTGGAGAGAAAACTTAATTTCCCCAGAGCTGTGCCCTCAGATGTAGTGGCTAAATAGTTGTCACTGAAGTACAAGAGAGTAAACAGCTCCAGAGATGACACAGTTCTGGGACGCTCATGTTACATCCCTATGATACCGCTAATTAACATTGACAGAGGGATATAACACTACAGGCTTTAATGTCCAAATGGGACTGAGAACAAACACATATTCACTTCCTCTTGGCTTCCGTTCTTTGTCTCTGTTCGAATGCAGATCTAAAACCTAGAACTGCAGATTTTTTCACTCTTTCATGTCAGATACTGAATGTCATCTGCAATGTTTGAAAGAGTAGCTCAGAAAAAAAGCCCAGTCTCTTGCCAATGTTAGTGCGTAAAGAGGGCGGGAAAAAAAACTTCTGACAACGTGGATTATCTTCTCAAGCAGTCCATAAAGATTTGTCTCGTTTGTATAAGCTCTTTGTTTCCTGATCTTCTTCTCGCTCCTCTTTTTTTGATCGAAGTAAAAGAGTGCGATGGAAGAATTACCATAATGTGTGTCAGAGAAGCCTTTGTGAGAAATGCCGGATGTCGTATCTGAAACTTTGGGACAGAAAACAAACAGAAAAATCAATAAGAGTCTTTGCCTCTGAAAAGATGAAATGACTGAAGGCCACAGAGAAAAAACATTTACAATATCTGTGAAACAATATGTAATTACCTGCGGCCACTGGATAAGACTTTCCTTTCAGACTGTTTGAAAACTCTTTTCTCTTTATCTTAGAGACAAATGAGGCAAGAGCAAACTTAGACAAAGAAACTTTTCTGGAGATAAAAAGAAAGATTTAGGAGGTGCTTATGAAGTATGGCCTCCCATTGGAAACAAAAGCACTATATGGTGGCCCTTTCTACCCAGAAATGGAAAGAAAATTGAATATTGTGAAGTTCTGGGGGAACATGGTATTAAATATTATATTGTAAGTATTTAGTCATGACTATACAAACAGTCAGTACAGGTGGACTTAAGGTTAAAATTATAAAACATGAAACACTTATAAAGTTATTATAAATATGTCAAAAATAGATTTCTGGATTGTGTTATACTTTTGCATGAAAGTGGTGTTGTAGTCAAGACCACCGTAACCGAGACCAAAGCATACCCGAGACCAGAGTGTAAGACCAAGACATTTAGGGATTGAGACCAAGTCAAGACCAAGACCGTCAATATCACTGAAAGTCATCATCTTGTGTTTAGGGGGCGTGTCACTCATTTCACAATGGGAAGGTTGTGGCGGTAACCTGGCGATAAAAAAATCAAACTATGTATGAAATTAAGTTATTCATTCTTTTAGAAAGGGGAATTTATTCTTCTAGTTTGTAATGATGTGGCAAAAAAATAGCCTGTCAGTGTTGGTCTTGACCAGTCTTGATTAAAAATCCAGAGTCTGGGGCGCTGGTGGCGCAGAGGTTAGTGTGCGCGCCCCATGTATGGAGGCTGTGGTCTCAAGCAGGCAGCCCGGATTCGAGTCCGGCCTGTGGCTCCTTCCCCACATGTAATTTCCCACTCTCTCTCCCTGGTTTCCCACTCTATCCAGTGTCCTATCTCTCCATTAAAGGCACAAAAAGCCCCAAAAAATCTTTAAAAAAAGTATGTCCAGTATGTCCAGTCTGAGACGGAGACGAGACCGAGCAAAATTGTTTTCAATTCCAAGACGAGACCTTAAGAAGTGATCTTGAGACTAAGACCCTTTTTCACAAATACACTGACAAATCAACACTTGTACTCATTTCTTATCAAGTTAAATTATTTCCTTGTTAACATTTGAATGATTTTAGAAGATTAGAAGATTTAGAAAATGTTGCAGACTTTCTCAAAATATTCAACAAGTAAAAAAAAAGGCATGTCATTTGCATTTCCATAGCTATGCATCATTTTAGGCTTGATAAGCTAAACATGCTAACCTGCCCATATTGATGGACTACTCAGACGTTTATTAGGGATAAGTTCCGCTCTTATTATTTGAATGGAGAACTTTTTAAACACTCAAAGCTTTAAAATCGGGCCGATAAACGTCGCTACTGCTTTAAGAATTGATGACCAAAAGTCTGATGAAATGGTTTTCTCTTTTTTTGGCTGAGACCTTTGAATATTTTCTAACCTAATATGGTGAAATGTTAAATTACTGACAGCTCGTTATTAAATGTCACAGTGTCAGTGGTGAAGTGAATAAAACATTAGCTCAGACTTTGTGATCACAGAACATGCTTTTAACTCTAGTGCTGACTCGGCCTCTAGAGAAATCTTTGTCATCACAAACTGACTAAAAACACCATTAAGCAGGACTCCTGAAACATCAGAGCAGACCCTTAATGCAGAATCAGACATGAAGGACTTCTTACCTCCTCATATTCATCGTGTGTTGTCTTGTCTTGTTATTCAGGGAAGTAGGAGTGCTTCTCCAGCCAAACGCTGAAGTCCCACAACAACCCCCCCATCCAACAGCACGAGGGCAAAAGGTCAAGACCACGGGACTCAAGTGGGGAAAAAAAGAGGAAGAAAAGGAGGAAATCTTGTCACACCCTAACCTCACCCTCCCTTCCCTACCTCTGATAACACTCTAATTATGTACGCTAAATCCCCCATCTCACCCTAGTATCTCCCCACCCCCTTTTTGGCTGGTAGATAGCGACACAATCTGTTGCCCCCCCCCCCCCCCCCCCCTGTCCATGCATGCTTTGTGCTGAGTCTTTGCTGTCATCATGATCGGTGTGAACTGTTTGCTGAAAGTGATCCTGAAGCCGCTCACGTGTGCAGCCTGAATGACCCCCCACCTATCCCCAACCTCGACTATACCCAACCCCCGCCTGCCATGGCTCTCGATTCATGTGCTTGAGTTTTTTGTGGACGTCTTTGGAGGCTTTTCTAACAAAAATGGCGGCTAAACCAAAAGCAGACCTGGAGTAGGTGAAGGTTCCGGCCGGTGAGAGTCCGACTGACTTGACCGTCATTGCCGCTTGCTGATTGGATGAAAAGAACCGGGTCGTTTCTGGTTTAGTAAAGAGCGGTTATCTGTCTTGTTGCACTTGTCTTTGTCGTTCCCCCAAAAACCCTTTTCTGTGAATCCAAACACAAACCTGTGTGTCTTTAAGTTGTGTATTGTGAAAGATAACGGATTTGACATTATTAAGAGAGCCTTGTGGTCATTGTGTGTTTTTATTCAACCTCCTGTGTTTTAGCGGTTAAAGTGTCTTGTCTTTAATGTTGATCTATGTTTGTCCTAAGAGCCCGAGGCTAGCTGTGGATGTTATGGTTAAAAAAATAATAATTTCTAAATCTTCTAAATCAATTTTATGCAAATGTGACTGAAAAAAAAGTCATTTCTAACGTGAATTTTTTTTCACTCTTATTTCCTGTCCATATATATCCCTTCTATTGCACTGTTTCCAGCTTTAAAAAACTGCCATAATCTGAATCTGAGGCGAGATTTGGCGTTGCATTATTCCAGATTCAGACCTCTCTTCTTTGCTTCAGTGTAGTCTAGATCACTTCTTTGTCCCTTTGTTTGTATCTTACACAACCATTAAAAACACACAAAAAAAAACCCTAGCTCAACAACAAGTGCCTTTCCTCCTCACTACCAAAGCAACACACTGCGTTTCCTCACTGTGGGAAAAACACAAACACAATTTCAAAAAGGTGCTCTCAAACTAACTCTTTCCAAGTTTTATGAGAAAATAAAAAAAGGTTTAGAATAATATTTCAGCACCAACACCGTGCTGATGGAAACATCCTCAATGTGTTGTAAAGCAGGCGTGTGAAAAGTGTAGCCTTCATCTCTCCTTTTGTTTGTGCGTGCTTGAGCCTTTGTGAGTGCTGTGTAGTGTTTATCTGAATGGATCCTGTGGTTGAATGTAAAGATCCTCTTCATTATTGTATGTGTAATAAAACATGACCAGCCACTTAACTGAGAATAAAAAATAAAAAATAATAAATCTCTAACCTCTGGTCCTGAAGTGTGTTTTGTTCAGCATGGCTCAAAAAGAAGTGAAGTGAAGGGAAATAGTGTCATTGGGTCAGGTCAGAGCATGGACAGACAAAGGTATGACACAGTTCCTCTCATAGAGCCCACGAGTCATTTCGTAATCAGGATTCATGCCCAGCTTTCAGAGCTTCTGAGGACTGCAGCAGATGGAGTACCATTCAGTCGCAAGTGTGTGCACTCACTGTAGTGTTGACAGAGTTCATGCATTTTTATGACATGACCAATTACAAAAGAACAAAGCTCACTGCGGCACTGAAAAATATGAATGAAATACACAACTTTCAATCCATATTTCAGGTCTTTAAAGGACATAGTGGGAGTTATAATAATGGCTCTTTTATTGTGATGTCTGCTCTTGACAGGTGCTATACTTACTTAATGTATATCTCATAACAAAATGTTATTCAAAACAATATCTGTATTCATGGAACATGGTTTAGAGGGAATGAAACACACGTCCTGTGAAACTGTGAAATCTGCTTTGACAGAGTGACCCACTTACAGAATGGGGACAATATTCAAAACACGATAAGATAAAGGGGACTAAAGGACAGGCATTGGTTAACATGTATTATTCAAACACAATAAGTAAGGCAACCTTACATGTGTGGACCAGATAATTGTTTTCCCAGAGAATGCAGATCTTGAAAAGAATATGCGGGATAAGAGAATGATAAATGTGAAGTATGTTCTTTTCCCCCCAAAAGAGTTGTTCTCCATCAAAGACTGTAAATAACAGTGGGCGAAGCCTGAGTAAGTGCACCCATTGGTTACTGAAGGTGGCTTTGGAAGCCCGTCGATGACGGTCGCCATGCTGGGAATGCTGTCTCAAGCTTACTTTTTAGTCAACCTAACAACATGCACAGAGCTGGAGCTGAGGCGTGGTCTTAAACCTCCTGACGAAACAGCTACTAAAATCTCAATCTTGAGTTAATTCAAAATTCCCCCTTCGTTTTGTGAGCCAGGTCATAAACATGTTTATTTCTGCTGTAAAAACTGACATCTGTGAATGGGTGTGTATGTGACTTCCTGGGCTTCTGCAGCCAGCCTCAAGTGGACACTTAATATACTGCATTTTTTTCACTTCCTGCTGAGGTTGCTGCTTGTTCTGGACAAGTTCAAAGGACCAGGGGCGTGGCCTGGGTAGCATGGCTCACCCCTGAAATCTGATCTGAGCCTCTCAAGATGACAGCTCATACTCCTAGACTATGATTGGCTATTTGGCCTAGTCAGGGCCGGACTGAAATTCAAACCTACTTTTTGGGGTAGTGTTGAATACTCTGCCAGTATAGCTTTAGATGCATTTCAATGCTGTTGGCCCAGATTTACATTTTTGAATGGGGATATATCTCTTATAGAATTTAGAATGGAAGATGTATTCTCGTATTTCTGTATAATACTTTTACCACGCTACTGTGTTATTTTCTTCACACAGGAATGTAACATCAGTATAACACCCTCATGTTAATAGCCTAAGTAGATATGTGGAGGCAGAAATAGTAAATAAATGCATACTGTAGGCGTGTGAGAGCACAAATAGTTAATGTCACTCTAGCTTAAGTCAGTGCTCCTGTTGGGCCACCCCTGTCAAAAAAGTGTGTTTCACGCCCCTGCCCAGGACTTTCAAAGGAAACAGCAAGGTGGTCTAAGTTAGGCCTAAAAGCAACAAATACAGTGCAGGAAATAATTATTTGATCCCCTGCTGATTTTGTAAGTTTGACCAATCACAAAGAAGTGAGCGGTCTATAATTTTTATGGTACTTCTATGGTACATCTAAATGATTCAGAGAAGGCTTGGGAGAAGGTGATGTGGTCAGATGAGAACAAATTGAACTCTTTGGCATAAACTGGAGTTGTTGTGTTTGGAAGGAGAGAAATGCTGAATTCCAACCCAAGAACACCGTCAAGCATGGAGGAGGAAACATTATGCTTTGGGGCTGTTTCTCTGCTAAGGGTACAGAATGACTTCACCGCATTGAGGGGCCGATGGATGGGGCCATGTACCGTAAGATCTTGGACAAGAACCTCCTTTCCTCAGCCAGAGCACTGAGGATGGGTCTTGGATGGGTTTTCCAGCATGACAATAACCCGAAACACACGGCAAAGGCAACAAAGGAGTGGCTCAAGAAGAAGCACATTAAAGTCATGGAGTGGCCTACCCAGTCTCCAGACCTTAAATCCATAAAAGATTTGTAGAGGGAGCTGAAAGTTTGAGTTGCAAAGCGACAGCCTCGAAACCTTCAGGATTTGGAGAGATCTGTGAAGAGGAGTGGACCAAAATCCCTCCTGAGATGTCTGCAAACCTGGTGACCAACTACAACAATCGTCTGACTTCTGTGCTTGCCACCAAGTACTAAGTCATGTTTTGCATGGGGATCAAATACTTATTTCCTTCGATCAAATGCAAATGAATTTATAACTTTATGTAATGTTTTTTTTCTGGACTTTTTAAAATATATTCTGTCTCTGTGTGTTAAATTAAAAGTACCATAAAAATGATAGACCGCTCACTTCTTTGTAATCGGGCAAACCTACAAAATCAGCAGGGGATCAAATAATTATTTCCTCCACTGTAGAAGTCTTCTTGGGAGTTACTTCCATTCATTATGCTAAGCTAAGCAAAGCTACTCATTTCCTGATATTTGTACTCTCCAAAGGGAACCTTTGATGCAGATATAAGCTGTGTATGAATCCTACTCAGCATGGAAGTGAATCAACACATTTTCAAAAGCGTGAAACTCTTCTCCAATTAGAGGAGAAATCCTTAAAAGACTGATATGAAACTTTAAATTAGTAGAAAAATTACTTTAATCTTCTTACTTCATTATGGACAATAGAAAATACAGCTGCAAAAAAAGAGCAAAAAACTGCTTACTTCTGTACATTGGCACGGCCTTATAACAAATGCAATATTATGCTCAAATTACATATTTCCAAATAAATTCATGTCTCGCTGGTTCATCAGAAAATATATCGAATCTAACTACACATATTTACAGAATGGATCACAGTACAAATGTTGCTGCTGTGGGTCTCATTGATATGAAAAACAAACACAGTGCTTACATATTCACTCACAAGCCTCACTGCAACATGCTTGTTGCTTAGCATGTTTGGTACAAACATTCCGGCTCTGTTTTGAACTAGAACAAACATGTAATATGTTTAAAATGATATTCACTTCAAAATAAAATATGTACATTATAAATATGTAAAAAAAAAGAAAAGAAAAAGTGCCACAAATCTGGTTGGCCAGTTAAAAAATGATGTTCTGATGTGTTACATAGCAGTTAATGACAACAGTGCAGTTGTTTGTAGCTCTGCAGTAGTTAAACACAAGACTCTCAGAATACTGCTTCCTCGCTTTGCATTGGAATATGGGAATAACCTGCACATCCAGAAGAGAGAAGTCTATGGGATGATTGTGTTTATTAAGTCCAAACTCTCCAGAGGTCACCATATTCATGACCGACTGACAGCAGCAAAACAGATTAATGTCATTAAGCCAATCACAGGGAACCAGATCCCCCTAACTCCACAGCTTAGATCAGCAACAAGGGACTGCTGCTGGGTGTGAAACCCTCCATTTACAGAGGAGCAGAACTTCAGTAACATCCGTCTTTTTTCTAACCAGATAAACCTTCCAGGGGAGGAAAGTGTTTTGGCACGGTATCATATCGATGTATGACTCGTGTGGTTTGTGTTCAGGGGAAGACATTGTGCCAGTGTTCTGATGACTCAGGAACCACTTCCAGGTCAAGGTCAGGTGTTACTTCCACCTGTGTGGCTGTTTCTTCCTCCCCCATGGACACATCGTGGACCTGACCTGAAGAGAGAAAGAGAAAAAAGAAGAGTGTGAAAAAGTTAAGCCCTGTTTGACATTTCCGAATCACTCGTTTGTAAACCAGAAGGCCATTCACACACATTAACAGAGCCGCTCCAGCAGCTGGGACTCTATTTGAGTTGCCTGTGGCTGTCATCCAATTGCGATTTCTTCTCCTCCTGACTTCTCCAACATTTGATTTTAATATCTCACTTCCTATCCGTTTTCTCTTCTGCCTGTTACATAAACTACATGATTAGACAGATGTGGAATAAGCTCATTGTGAGTGTTGAATAGGAGCCACGTGTCATTGTACATTCAGCACTAAATAACAATAAGTCTCTTTGGCACAGGCTGAGAGGTTCAGACATGCTTCATCTCCAGCTGCAGGCCACACTCTGGACTCAGTTTTACAGTGGGAGTCATTTCATTATCTTGGCTATCTTACTTCTCTGCAGCTGAAACCCTTGAAACACATATTCATGATTCTGATAGAGCATTAGTGTGCTCCTAGAAGCATGAAAGAGAACGAACAGGAGGATATTTCATGTACTTAAAATAAAAAAGATTGCTTCGATGGCACTGTTCCAGCTTAAGTACAATTTGACATTCTGCAACTATCCTGAGCAGTGAAGCTGTATTAATTCTCCTGTCAACACTTGTCAAGGCCAATGCTATGAAATCACATAAAACTGTGAAATATTCCAGAGGAATAATCATTTTAAAAGCCACGCAACAACCTGCACTGTGTTACAAACACAACAAATGAAAAGCATGATTTATTCTCAGAGTCACAAATCATACATTGAGGAGACAAGTGTCTACAAATATGCAAGCAGCTCTGTAGGACGGTTCTTAAAAACTTTAATGATGTTGAAGTTTCTGTGCAATCTAAAAAAAATGTTTAGGGAGTGGGGGGGCTTTTTATGCCTTTATATAGAGTCAGCACAGAGTCAGAATTTGGGGAGAGAGAGAGTGGGAAATGACATGCGGGAAAGGAGCCACAGGTCGGATTTGAACCCAGGGCCGCCCCCTTGGAGGACTACAGCTTCTGTAAATGGGGCGTGCACACTAACCACTAGGCTACCTGCGCCCCTTTTGTAACCAGATTGAAAAGTAATTGGATAACTAAAG